TCCACCATCTACAATGGATGATCCCGCTTCGCGGGGTCCCCCATACCATAGGGGTATCGAAGGTGTATGAGTAGATAAGAGGTGTCTACTAGAGGTTTAATATCACTACGATATATCTCGTCTTGGTTAGAATAGGTGTGCAAAGGAGGGAATCGAACCCCCTTAGATGGATCATGAGTCCAGTGACCTAACCTTTAGTCTACTTTGCACCTTACTTAAAATCTGATGATCAGGTGATCTCTCTATTTAGAAGAAGAAGATTTTTCACTAAAGGGCTACCTATAAAAAATTTACCACAGGCAATCTTCATTCCTTAGATAAACCTCCTATTACTAATGAGTTGGCTAGAACTTTTTTTAATCTGGTAGATTTAGGGTACCTAGCAGGAAACTACTAAAAATACTCTGAGTTATTTGAGGTAGGCATGAACCCCCTTCGCTTTGTGCTAGCGGTTAGTTAACAAAGCATATCTCACTATGGTGGTCTCCTCGACTTAAAATTAGTTAATGCAAATCCTAAAATCCCGTAAGAAAAAAGTTGCTGCTTTAAAGAAGGAGTTCTTGTTGATAGTTATCCCAAACAAAACCTGTATCCCTTGGATAGATCATATTTGTGTATTATTACATGTGGCTCGGTCCATCTATTTTATTTTTTTAGCTGTGTGCCTCCGGACTCCAATAATATTTAGAAGCTTTAGAATATTTATAATATTACTTTCAGGATTGATTCCTCTTACCCTGCAGAGGTACACCCCTTCGGGATAGCTAGACGGATTCGAACCACCTTATTTTCCTTGGTGACCCTTCTCCGGAGGTGACCCCACCCTAGAGGTGTCATAGCTCTATCTATCCTGTACAATCTCAATCACCTCCTAAGGTAGGCTAGAGCATGGCTGTGGGGAAGAGAGAGCTAGTTATAAGTGAACTAACTACACCTTAATCAGTAGTCGGTATTCACCCCAACCTTGCTAGGGCGTGTGGTAATACTTTGGTGTAATAGCCTGGGGAATGATCTAGGCTTATAATCAGAGTGGTAACTAGGGGACTATTTAGTAAATTATAAATATATCTGGGGCTATCCCAGTAACATTACAGTGGGTACCGCATAATAATCTGGTTGGTTAGAGTCCCTCCCCGGAACCCGGGGAGGTGCCCCCTTGGGGTTGAGTAGGCTGGATATAAGAGCTATGTGGTTACTAAGTACATTAGGTAGGATATTGAGTGGAGCACCAGTAGAGAAGTATCAATTTACGTATCAGAGAGGGGTGATATTTCCTGTAATACCGTGTCTACGTTCTAGTGGTCACATGTGTGTAGGCAATCTTAGGAAGGTTATGGGATTCAATAGAAATAGCTATAGGCAGATAATCTATAATAATGTGGTGGTGAGGAGTCACAGAGGGCTAGATGGGCGTAGATATATCCGTCTAGAGGTGTATGGTCGTATAAAGCTATCAGGTGGTCACGGGAAGTAAACGAGATAGTCAGTAAGGGGTACATACACTACCTGTCTCTCTTTACACGAGGAAGTGTATATCTAATCTCTAGGAGGTAAGCTATGTCAGTCAAGATAAATTACCTTAGAGGGGAGACTAATCGTAGAAGGGGAGAGGACGCAAGGCCCATGGGTCTATCTATGTGAAAGTGAGGCATAGCTGCATAAACCATCAACACTTTGAGTGAGCCGGGAAAAGTACGCCTTTAAATACCGAGTATATGTAGACCATTTTTGTGAGAGAGGATTAAAAATTAAGTGTCTAGTGATGAAAAGATCATAGCCTGCTTAAATTTACCTGAGTCACTCTCTCAAACTACTCCAGACCAGATTACACTATAGTGTCAATAGCTATGTCAGTCGAAAACGGTGTAGTTAAAGTCTAGAGATAGGGTCCCTCCGGGAGGTGTCCTGTCCCCTTGGGGTTGTAGATTTTTAGACAAAATACTAGTATACAAATGTATAGTGAAGGAGTTAAAAGTTAATAGATAACCAGGGGTGATGTCTAGAGGTGTCGGGGTTCCCCACTCTCCAAGAGAGAGTGAGGGTGTCCCCTTGGGGTGGTAACCCTCCTACACGCCCTCTCCCTCTCGAGAGCCCTCGAGTGGTGGATGTCAGGGACATCCTAAAGGCACCTTCGGTTCCTCCCCGGGTTACGGGGAGGTGTCCTGTCCCCTTGGGGTAGAATAAATGTAGATAGGTATGAGAGTATAAGGGTAGGGATGAGTGTGTAGGAAGCTATCTAGTGATATTATAGGGAGATATCTACTTAGGATAAGAGAGAGATAGGAGGGTAGATATAGTTAGATAGTGTAGTAGATGGGGTAGTGTAGGTGATATATAGCTAAGGTGGTGGTGAACTAAAAAGTAACAGGTAGATGCTCATTCCGGGCATCTGTCACCATGTTTATGAAAGCTTATAGAGTGTGTGTGAGACAAATATGTGAAGACCTAGGGTACATGATGTCAGTGTAAACAGGAGGGGAGCAGGCAATCTGATAGTAGTGTATGCTAATATAAACTAAAAATAATCCTACTACATAAAGTGTGTAAGGGGGTAATTAATGGCTAATCTAATCGGAGATAACCTTTAGGAGGTAGGATATATAGACGGAGAGTAGACAACCTCTGCTAGCCGTAGAAACCTGTGTCTGTCCCAGTTGACACCATCTCAACCCCCCT